ATTTGATGCAATCCCTCTCAAATTACCAGCAACATTCTTCAATGAATTGGAACAAATAATTCAAAAATTCATATGGAAACACCAAAGACCCCGAATAGCCAAAGCAATCCTGAAAAAGAAGAATAAAGTAGGGGGGATCTCACTCCCCAACTTCAAGCTCTACTACAAAGCCATAGTAATCAAGACAATTTGGTACTGGCACAAGAACAGAGCCACAGACCAGTGGAACAGATTAGAGACTCCAGAAATTAACCCAAACATATATGGTCAATTAATATTTGATAAAGGAGCCATGGACATACAATGGCAAAATGACAGTCTCTTCAACAGATGGTGCTGGCAAAACTGGATAGCTACATGTAGGAGAATGAAACTGGACCATTGTCTAACCCCATATACAAAGGTAAACTCAAAATGGATCAAAGACCTGAATGTAAGTCATGAAACCATAAAATTCTTAGAAAAAAACATAGGCAAAAATCGCTTAGACATAAACATGAGTGACCTCTTCTTGAACATATCTCCCCAGCTAAGGGAAACAAAAGCAAAAATGAACAAATGGGACTATATCAAGCTGAAAAGCTTCTGTACAGCAAAGGACACCATGAATAGAACAAAAAGGTATCCTACAGTATGGGAGAATATATTAACAAATGACAGGTCCGATAAAGGGTTGACATTCAAAATATACAAAGAGCTTACGCACCTCAACAAACAAAAAGCAAATAATCCAATTAAAAATACATATATATATGTTAACTACTTACATAATATGTTAAATACTTAAAAAATGTTAACTATAAGGCATCAACATCTCAAAGACTTTTACTCCATTTTCTTATTCCCACAAAGTTACTTAAAATAATGTTTTTATAAGTTTGTAATCTTGCTCTTCTAACATATCTGTGAAAATCATACATACATGTAAGCCTAAAATATGCATATGTGCCTGCCTCAAAGCCACTAGCACAAAATTTCTAAATTGATTTTGCTCTTATCTCTTAACAATATTCACATCAAGAATAAACGTAGTACAAAACATAATGGTGAGTTTAGTATCTGCCTTAACATACATATTATGGTTAAGATTGAATAGCTGGAACATTTCTTGATACAAAAACTATACCAATTTATTAAGGGTCAAGTGTAAGACAAAAGGAATAAATAATAAGCATAAAACATACGCTTACTACATTTATATGCATTTCCTTAGGGTCAAAATGATTTTTTGAAGGCTAACTTAAGGATGAAATGCAATATTCAACAATAAATGAAACAATATATTCACTTTAATCATAATACAAAATGAAGACTAATGAACAGAAACATATTTTCGTATCACATAAATAAACTACAAAACTGCTGTTCTTTGTCTACTCTACCATCATGATCTATACAAACACTTATTTTAAAATGATCAGATTTGAAAAGACTAACCTTAATTCAGCAAATAAACTGTTTAAGCATATAGCTAAAAGTTTAAAGTTCTGTGCACACAGTACTATAATACAAAAGCAGGAACATACTTATACATCTTTAAGCACCTGGTAATCATATCTGTAAGACACATTCCTACATATCAACAGCTATACACAAATCAGACACTACAAAAGTCTGAATCTATAGAATACAACAATGAAAGAAACCGTGAAATTTTCCTTTCCACTGTCACTGAAAATCATTTACTTGTGTACTCTAAGTACTATTTATAAAATCTTTTCCCTTAAAACATTCCTTAATTCTGACAGTATTTTTAAAGAGGAGGAAAGTCCCAGAAATACCAAAAAATTATAATTAAATTATTGCTAAAACTTCAAGAAATATTTGCAAAGAACTGAAATACCAAAGAAAAAAATTAATAGGACAGTTCTTGGTGGTTTCTTACAAGCATTTTACAAAGCAAATAGTTTTACTGCCTGGTAATTTTGAGACAAATCAATAGACTGTAAAGTACTCTCTGCAGCTCTTAAGTCTTCATTTTGTGCCTTAACAAAAGCTGACACCCATTTGTAATGAGTCTTTTTATAGTTACACAGCTATTTTACATCTCTTCTGAAGACATATTAAACCTTTGGGTGCTCAATAAAACTGACCAATTAATTGACTCCATCATAAAAACCTGAGAAGCTATTCCAAAATATGTACATCAAACACCAAAGTCAAAGTTAATCACAAGTCTTTCCTACTTTACTAAGTTGAAAATTTTCTTCAAATGGGTCCTTTCCAAGGAAACTACAAAAGATGTACAACAAGTGAATTCTTAATACTGCCATTCAAGTTCACATAAAAGAAGGAATGATATAGCTTCAGAAATCACTGTGAGAGAACAGAGCGAGGGGGTTCAGAGAGCACAGAGAGCTCTGGGGTCACAGGGGACTCAGTCTGAATTCTTGCTTCACCTCTCAAAACTTTAGGACCTTGGGCAAGTTAATAAAACCTCTTTGAGTCTTAATTTCTATTATCAAATGGAAACACAAGGCTAAATTACAGGCTGTTGTGGGCACTAAAATAGATAACATATACAGAGTGCTTAGTACAGTACTGAGGCCATTAATACTCAATAAATGACTGTAATTACTAAGATATGTTTAAGAACTTATTTTCAGTGTAATTTACTATTCAAATTCCAACTAATGTTGCAAATCAATAAAAGGAAAAGTATAAAGATTCAATAACAGATTTTTCTTTAATGCATTTAACTGATCATCCTTTCAATTCCTGCTCTCCTACTGCAGGTCATGACCCATTAGTGGGATGTGAAGCCATTTAGTGGATCTCAATCAGCATTTTTAAATAAAATAGAATAAAAATATAAGAATGCCTTGCAAAGGAAGTCTAAGCATTGATTCATGAATTTTTTTTAAAAACTTTTAAGTATTTTCATAATGTGTCTGTACACTGGATGGCTATATAAAACATTTCCTACTGTACAAAAAAAAGTTTAAAAGCAACTACTTCATGCTGTAATAACAAGAATAAAAATAATTAACTGATCCTGAATGTTTAGTTTTTGCAAAACATTGCACAAAACTCATACATTATTTCATGCGATCCTCCCCAAAATCCTGTAAGATAGGTACTACTATTTCAACCATTTTACAGATGAGGAAACAGACTGAGAGAGATTAGGTCACTTGCAAAGGATGCAGTGCCAATAACTGGTAAATCCGGGGCTTGAATTTAGTTACCTTACTCCAGAACTTGCACGTTTAACCACTTCAGAAGGTACTAGGTTGTAACATATAACTTTTTCTTACATAAAAGCTATTCAAAAAGAAAACTTTCTCATAAGGCTTGACTTTCTGGGGGTTTAGCTTATCTTAGAGAAGGCAGTATGATTCAGATATGAACGCTAGGTGTGAGATTCAGCTGCTGTCCCCTGGCATTGTTACTTCAGTGGCAAGCAGTGTTAGCAAGTCATTAAAGCTCACCGTGTCTGGATTTCCTCACCTACACACAGGAATGACAGTATCTGCTCTGCGTCCCCACAGGTCACTGTGAGAAATTTATGTAGATATAACAAGTGAAATGTTTTACTTTGCTACTCAGTTATCTAAGATGATCATTAATACTGCTCAAAGGACCCCATGCTTTATAGAAACATATATCAAATATGATCAAATAAAGGAAGGCCACTAGAAAACTGTATGTGGAAACACTACACATTTCTTGACAAACAGTAGGCTTTCAGTAAATGCTCATAAACTGAAAAAAGTAAACCAATCTGATCTGTACGTATGTTTTATCCCTTTGTATTTTATTTTTCATTAAATCATTTTTTCCCTAACTATTTATTGAACACCTACTAAATGCAGATTAGAAATGGGGACTATAAAAAAAGACTAAAAAACTGTTCCTTTGCCCTGAAGAATTCCCTAGTAATTTCAATTTTTTTCCAAAATTGTGTAAGAGAATTGTAAAATACAGCAATAATAATAATTTACATTTACTATAGTGCTTTATACTTTAGAAAGAACTATGTGGTAGCTTTTGTTTCTTGCACCAGTTGCCTAAGTTGTCAAGTCAGTATTATTTTCCTGACTCCAAATTACTGTTAAGTACTGCTAAGTCTTCAGAGTGAAAGTTTTTCAATGTCACAGGTGACTATAAAAATACGGTTTTGAAGAAAATACATTTTAATACGGGAAAGCTAGTGGCATGACTTTCTTCCTTCACATTTCTGAGCTGAAGTAATCTACAGTGCTACTGCATTACCTACGTTAAGATGCATTTCCAAAATGTTTCTTTTAAATACCTGCCTTTTATCTCTTTTCTTACAGGCAATTTTGTTTAATATATTGACCTAGGATTCAGTTTTCCCATAGAATAAAAGAGGTAGTAGTGAAGGTGTGTTCCCTTTGTTCACTTTTCAAAATTACCGAAAATTGATTGTTGTATTCAGAGTCTTGAGTCACACAGAAAGCCAATAAATTGTAACCCATATTATATATAATTCAACAACTACAGGTGATTTTTGCAGGTGAACGTTGATTTCATAATGAACTGAAAATTTGCTCCTGGCTATTTACCAAGAACCTTTTACTACAATTGCCTTATCCTTTGTATTCTAACCACTCCCTCTCGATCACCAACCCCCGCAACAGACTCACACTCCCTCACTGACACCAGATCAGTTTCCGGGCCATTATTTGTAAAACCATATTAAAATTTCACAACACATGGTCGTAGTTACTAGGTTTTCTACCCTCCACCACCACCTCCACCCACTGAATTAATGTGCCTATATATATGCATACATTTTATATTGGATGTTCTCAGAACATCCAATATAAAATGTAACGCCTGACTTCTGTTTACTAATAACCATGAAAAAAAGCCATACTCTACCTACCGTATCCGTAGGGTGAGGAGGTCCAATCTCGCCACTACAGAGCTCTGCAAAAAAAAGACGGTTATAGGAGCAGGAAAATCATCGCAAGAGCCCCTGGGAGAAGATAGAGAAAACACATTTTACACCACTGCCAGTGTGTGGTCTCCCGACTCCAGCCCCTGGTAAACAGGCAGAACCTTTGTCTTGCCTCAGCCATCGAAGTGGTGGCTCATCAGAATCGGGTCAACAAGAGTTTGTGCGAAATGGCTTGGCAGAGGTTAAACAAAGCGCTGCAGCCCCGGGGCGGGGGGCGGGGCTGAGCCCGTCGGCGTCCGAGATCCCCGACGTTGAGGTCTCGCGCAGACCCCCGCCGCGGCCGGGGCGCGCTTAGGAGAGGGGATTTCAGGGCCCCACGCTCCCGGCAAGTTCGCGGGGCGCAGCCCACCCACAGTTGCCTTGCGGGAACCCCCAGCAGCGCCGCCCCGCGCCGGGTCCTCAGCGCGGGCCGGCAGGGCACACTGCCGGGCGCACGCCCCCAGGGCCAGGGCAAGGTCGGGAATCCCGGGCGCCGCGGTGATGCCAGCCCGCTGCCCCCATTGTCTGTCCCCGGCCGCGGGCCGGCAGGCGCTCACCTGAGGCCCCGCCCGGAGCCGCGGCGGGCAGAGCGGCTGACGGCGACGGGCGGTCCCGCGCGGGCGGCGGGCGCGAGACAGCCCGCGACTGCCCCGAGCACCAGCAGCCTCCGCAGCAGCGCCAGCCGGGAACCCGCCTCTCAGGCGGCCGAGGCCTCCATTGCTCTACCCGCCGCCGCCACCGCGCGGCACTGCGCGCCCGGGCCCGCGCGGCGAGGTCACGTGCTGCGACGGCGCCCCGAGCGCTCGGACCCGCGCCGAGGCCCCGCCCGGCTGCGCCCGGGGACTGCCTGGCCTGCGGCACCCCGGGGTCCTCTCGCGCGCTCCGGACAACCCCCTCCCTGCGGGTGCCCAGGAACCCGAAGCACACGGAGGGGCTTGGGGTGGGTCAGTGCCCTTCCCACCACTGCGGGGCACGGCCGGCCCGAGGGACTGAGCGCGTGGGGTCTGAGCTTCCTGGGGTAGGCTCGCAAGGGGGGTGAGGGCCGGGGACCATTAGTCATCACCCCACGGGATGCAAATCCGGCCCCTGATACCTAGATGAGCTAGATGCCAGAGAGAGCGCCCTGGACACCTGTGGGAGTTGCACTTTGCAGAGCCCCAGCAGTGAGACATGGCCCTGGGACTCCTGAAAGTTCAACAAGCCTGTGGAAAAACGCTCGCAGTTGCTCTGCTGAGCCGTACGTAGTACATCAAAACAGAGTGACATTGACGTTGGGCATTATTGTCCCCAGCCATATGAAATTAAATACTTTAATATTTTAAGGAAAATATTTGTCCTTTCTTTTTGTGACTTACCTGGAAACACTGAGACTTTTTCTCTGTACTTTTTGCTGTGACTATTTTGATGGAACTTGGAAATCAGTTTCTGGTGACGTTTCCATTCACTTTGCATGCGAAGATGTAAAAACAATAATTTAGCATCTTTATTAATCAGGAAATTGAAAACGAAGCATAAACATCCTCTGTGATAAAAGATGCAGAAGATTAAAGGTAATCCTAAAAGATGACCTGTTGAACCAGATGTTCCCATTCCAAAAACAGGATTAATAATTTTAATGCAGGTGCATGACTTAAAAGGAACAACTTTGATACTGGGCGAATCTAGTATGTATTCCCTTATCTATCTGAGCTTTTTTCCAGATAAACCTTTAATTCACTATACCATGAAATATGGTTGTGTGTTTTTGTGAATATATATTTCATTCATTTGTTCACGGCTTATATGTTCTAAATGATGTCTCCTTTTTTCCAAATAAGCATAATGGTATGTTTTATAAAAGGGTTGAGCAAGTTATTTTTTATTTGATCTAGAATAGAAGCCCAAAGTTAAATCTGTTTAGAGCATAAAACAGGTTTTTTTCTTGACATAGTCTTGCTAACTACATGAAAACATACTCTATAAAAATTCAAACTTACATAAATCAAGTGTAGGTGTACTGTCGTTTTTAATTTTGCAGAGCAAGGTACCCCAAAGTATATGCCCTTAAAATACTGAAAGAGTTCTAGAGAATTTATCCTCATATTACAGCTTTAAACAGGACTTTGTGTTTCATGGGCCTCAAATACCAGAAGCTATCAAGCACCCCTTCTGCTAGGTGCTATTTTTTTCCCCTCACTTTTCAAACACATTGGTTCATGGTTACGATATAGAAGACTATAATAACATCAAAGCAGGTGTCAGTCCACTATTCACTTTTAAAATACCTTAACTGTCTTTCAGTTAAGATACAGATTTTCAGAGATCATAATACAATATAAAAGATGCAGAACATTAGGATTTTTTGAGATATTTAACCATTTAAATATCTTAGGAAGGATGTGAGAAAGAAATTACATAGTTAAGCCAGTAGTTCTCAACTGTGGTATTTTTGTCCTTGAGGAGACATTTTGGTTGTTACAACTCGTTGTCAGGCACTACAGTTGGCATCTGGTGGGTAGAAGCCAGAGATGCTGCTACATCCCCCAGGATGCCCAGGACAACCCCCACCACCAAGGATCATGTAGCCCAAAATGTCAGTGATGCCAAGACTGAGAAACCCCGAAGTAGACCCATGGACTTCCAAAGCTCTTGATTCTGTACCCACCATGTCTGCTTATCATCCCTTTCCCTGTGTATTTGCACAGAATTTTCTTAGTGCTCAGGAAAGGAGTATAATAGTAGAATCTTTCTACTGGGAAGAGAGACTAATAACTGAGAGGGATAAAAAGTAATTGCATAAACAAAAGTCATGTAGATAATAAAGAAAAAAAAGAAAAAAGCTAAAATCATAGAAATATTGTGGTGTGGGAAATATCTTAACTGTTCCTTGCAACTTCTTCAGAACTTTGTTGGGTCTTCCCAACAGCCTTGACTTCAAAAGTGAAAGAACCAAAATAATACCACCATTTTGAAAGTTTCCACTAGTCAGGAGTAAGGTTAGTAATTCCTCCTGTGCTGCTGTGAACATTCAGAGTTCAAAGTGAGTGAGGTGCTTATAAACGTCTCAGCAAGCAGGAAGTAGGGTTATAATCAGAACACTTACCCTATCCCTAGTCCTGACTTTTTCTCCCTATGCTTGGGTCTGGGGTAATTCACTTCAGACATTTCCTCAAATCTGTAAAATAGGGTTAACTGTTAGATCTCACATATCTTTCATCTAAATTACAAACTTATGATGGTGTCTAAAAATAAAGTAATACTAGGCAAATGTTAACAAAAAGAAAGCATATGGGGCAACTTGATATCCATAAGCAAAAGAATGAAACAGGAGAAAAAAACAGAATGAAACTGGACCACTACCTCATACCATATACAAAAACTAATTCAAATGGATCATAGACTTAAACACAAGAGAACTATAAATGAACTCTTAGAAGTAAATATAGGCATAAACCTTCACATAATTTCTTAGATATGGTACCAAAGGCACCATGAAGAAAAAAAATAAATAAAATTAGATTACATCAAAATAAAAAACTTCTGTTCTGCAAATGATACCATCAGGAGAGTGAAAACATGACCCACGGGATGGGGAAATGCACCAGCAAATCATATACCTGCTAAGAGATTTGTACACAGAACATAGAAAGAACTTGTACAACTCAATAATTAAAAAGACAAATAATCCCAATTTTAAAATGAGCAAAGGTATCTCAACAGACATTACTTCAACAAAGATATACAAATGACCAATAAGCAAATGAAAAGATACTCAACACCATTGACCATCAGGGAAATCACGTCAAATCACAATGACATACACTTTATACCGACTAAGATAGCAAACATTAAAAACAGATAGATAATAACAAGTGTTGGTGAGGATTTAGAAAAATTTTGAAAAAACCCTCATACATTGCTGGTAGTAATGGAAAATGGTGCAGCCACTTTGGAAAACAGTTCCTGAAGGTATTAAATATGGAGTTACCATATGACCCAGAAATTCCACCCAAGAGAAATGGAAACATATATCCACATAGAACATGTATAGGAATGCTTATAGTTACATTATTTATAATGGCAAAAAGGTAGAAATAATCCAAATGTCATCAATTGACAAATGGATTAAACAAAATGTAGTCTTATCCATACAGTGGAATATTATTTGTCAATAAAAAGGAATGAATTGCAGATGACATGATATTGTACATAAAAAACCCTGAAGAATCCACTCCAAAACTACTAGATCTAATATCTGAATTCAGCAAAGTTGCAGGATACAAAATTAATAAATACACAGAAATCCGTTGCATTCCTATACACTAACAATGAACAAGCAGAAAGAGGAATCAGGAAAACAATTCCATTCATAATTGCATCAAAAATATTTAAATAGCTAGGAATAAACCTAACAAAGGAAGTGAAAGACCTATACTCTGAAAACTATAAGACACTCATGAGAGAAATTAAAGAAGATACCAATAAATGGAAACACATCCAATGCTCATGGAGAGGAAGAATTAATATTGTCAAAATGGCCATCCTGCCTAAAGCAATCAACAGAGTCAATGCAATCCCTATCAAAATACCAACAGCATTCTTCAATCAACTAGAGCAAATAGTTCTAAAACTCATATGGAACCAAAGCAATCCTGAGAAGGAAGAACAAAGCTGGGAGGATCACAGTCCTTAACTTCAAGCCCTAGAACAAAGCCACAGTAATTAAGACAATTTGGTACTGGCACAAGAACAGAATCATAGACCAATGGAACAGAATAGAGAGCCCTGATATAAACCCAACCATATATGTTAATTAATATATGATAAAGGGGCCATCGACATACAATGGGGAAATAGCAGTCTCTTCAACAACTGGTGTTGGCAAAACTGGACAGCTACATGCAAGAGAATGAAACTGGATTATTGTCTAGCCCTAAACACAAAAGTAAACTTGAAATGGATTAAAGACCTGAATGTAAGTCATGAAAGCATAAAACTCTTAGAAGACAACATAGGCAAAAATCTCCTGAATATAAACATGAGCAACTTTTCCTGAACACATCTCCTTGAGCAAGGGAAACAAAAGCGTAAATGAACACATGGGACTACATCGAACTAAAAAGCTTCTGTATAGCAAAGGACACCATCAGTAGAATAAAAAGACATAGTTTTTGAGAATATATTTTGTAAACAACATATCCAACAAGGGGTTAACATCCAAAATATATAAAGAACTCACACCCCTCAACAACCAAAAAGCAAATAACCCGACTAAAAAATGGGTGGAGAATATGAACAGACAATTCTCCAAAGACGAAATTTAGATGGTCAAAGGCACATGAAAAGATGCTCCACATCACTAATTATCAGGGAAATGCAAATTAAAACCACAATGAGATATCACCTCACACCAGTTAGGATGGCCAATATTGAAAAGACTAATAACAGCAAATGCTGGCAAGGATGCAGAAAAAGGGGAACCTCCTACACTGCTGGTGGGAATATAAGCTAGTTCAACCATTGTGGAAAGCAATATGGAGATTCCTCAAAAAACTAAAACTTGAAATACCATTTGACCCAGGAATTCCATTTCTAGGAATTTACCCAAAGAATACAAATTCTCAGATTCAAAAAGACATATGCACCCCTATGTTTATTGCAGCACTATTTACAGTACCCAAGGTATGGAAGCTACCTAAGTGTCCATCATTTGATGAATGGGTAAAGAAGATGTGGGACATATACATAA